TATTATTTTTTTATTTATTACTTGTTATTATTATTTTATTTTACTATTATAATTATTATTTAAAATTACCCTTATTAATATTTTTAATTTTTATTATTAAATTATTTTAATTACTAATATTATTTTTTAAATTATCATATTTATGTATTATTTTTAAATTATTATTATTTATTAATTTATTATTATTTATTTCTATTATTTATTATCCTCTCTTTCTGATCAGTATAGGTACTTTTGTACTTTTGATTTTTGTACGGTCATGGATTTTCTTCTGTATTTCTTTTGCTAGCTATGTACCGTATTTGTAGATGATTGTTTTGAGGAAAAGAAAGAAAAAGATAGATGTTTTGTTCCGCTGTGTTTGATGATTCATAGTAGCTCTGTGTTTGTGTGTCTGATGAGTTTAATTATTTGGAAGATTCAGTTCAGTAACCAAATTTCAAAGCCAGATCCTGGATAAAAGGTTTGGTCACGGCCCGGTGTGAGCGGGGTCCGTCCCGGATCGGGTCGGGTCGTGACAGGTTCCCTTTATCCCCCTTGCTTTTCTGCATTGTTATGGATAGATTTTCTTCTTACCATCATTCCTAGAACCATCCTTCTTTTATGGGGATTAATCACAAAAATTTATGTCTCAAGCATCTCATGTATGCCGATAACCTTTTAGTTTTTTGAGAGGCTTCTTTGGATAATGCTACATGCTTTAAGAATTCACTGCATCGATTTTTAGATGCTTCTGGTCTTCATATAAATCTGATTAAAAGATCCATTCTATTCTTTAAAAACATTGTTGATGGGGATCTGATTGCTGCCTCTCTTGGTATCTCCCACATTGAGGATTCAATTATCTACTTGTTTATTTCGATTGCTTCTAGAAGGCTGGTTTTCTCTCACTTCCAACCCTTATTGAACAGAATTTTTGGTCTACTTGAGGGTTATGAAGTTAAGTTTCTTTCTTTTATAGGTAGAATTTAATTTATGAAATTTACTATACCCAATACCCTTACTTATTGGATCAAAGGTGCTATCATACCTAAATCTTGTCAGAAGATCATTTCTAAACTTTACTCTAAATTCTTATTTTTTGGGAACTTGAAAGACAAGAAATTACATCTCATATCCTGGAATTCAGTGACTAAGCCCAAAAGCAAAAGAGGTTTGGGGCTTCCTTCATTTGATTCCCTTTATCATAGTGTGGAATTCTCCTTTATTTGGCACATGTACAATTTCAATACGATCCTCGGAGCTTGGTTTAGAGAAAATTTTGAATCCCCTTGGAAGCCTCCTCCTCCTTCCGCCTCCAAATTCTGGAAGATGATATGTTACACTGCCCATCCTATAAAAAATTCTATTAGCTTCAAGGTTGCCCCGTTTAATAAATTTTCCATGTTATGGGATCCTTAGTTAAATGGTGAATTTTTAACTAATTATTGCAACTCCAATAGGCTTTCTTTTTGCTATGTTCTGGATTTTATCTATAATGGGATGTGGAACTTTCCAGACTTCTTTCCTGATAGTGTTAAGATCAATATATTAAGCATTCACGTATGGGATCAACTAGCTTTGGCCTGGGATGGCTCCTCTTCCCCCTCTTTTAAGACGTATATTTTACAATTTTATGCTAGCTTGGATGATGTGAGTTGCCATAAATTTATTTGGCATAAGAAGCACGCCCTTCGATTTTCTTCTTATACTTGGATGGAGATTCAAGGAAAGCTTAAAAGTGTGGATGTTCTTATTCACAGGGGGATTCCGACCTCCCCCTCATGTTCCTTTTGCTAGAGCAGCCATGAATCTCACTCCCATCTGTTCTTTGAATGTGACTTCTCCTTCTCACCGCTTACTAGTCTACTTTCAATGCTGGGCTATTTCTATCTCAGGCCAAACCTTATGCAAACATATGACTTTTTGAGTAACAATCTCCACCTTAATCGGTTGGAGAGAAATTTATGCTATTGTTTATCACCTTTAGAGGGAGCGTAATAAAAGGAGGTTTGCAAATTCTTGGGATAATACTATTAGAGATGTTGTCATCAATGCTATTTGTTCTAAATCGAACAACTAAAAGTTTAGGGAGAATCTCACTAGTCGTTTTGTTGAAATTTTGGGCTAATGAGGTTTATGCTACCTGCCGCTGGTCATGTTTTGGTTTGAGGCCTTATCTGGGTTGTTTTTACTGCCTTTTTCTTGAGCTTTGGTATCCCTCAGAACATCTTCAGATTGATGTTTGGTGCACCTATGCTGGTGTTTTTGTTAGGCTATTACTGGAGGTTTTTCTTATGCTTTTTTGGAATCGTCTGATGGCTGAATTAATTCTGCCTGGATTTTCTATCCAGGATGAGCTTTCAACTAGAATTTTTTGGCGGCCGATTGGTTAGGGTTTGATGATTTTGTTGGACTATGATGAGCAATGATCTACTCCTAATTTTCCCATGGATTGTCTTTTTGGCAACCAAGGTCACCTTGATGATTCGACAGTATAGAATTTTGGGAGAAGTTGTGATGGTCTTGTTGTTTTTTCGGGGCTGTGGCAGCTGGCTTCTCGTCTGCTGCTTGGTGATTTACTCTCTCAAACCGAACTGTTTAATGATGTTTGATCGAAGTAGACCTCAATCATGAGTCCAATTTTTTGATACTTCCTTTTTGTTTTTTGGGGTATAGTTGGTTTTTTACATGTAATTTTTTTTTTCACATGTAACTTTATTTGATTAAATATACGGGTTTTTGCCTCGAATTTTCTCTAAAAAAAAAAAAAAATTCAGCTTTCCTATATATCTACATTAAGTTAACAGATTATATCCTCCAAATTTTTTATTTCATTTTATAATTTTTTTGTTTTGCATCATTTTATTTCAATTTTATGCTAGTTAAGCATTCAATATGGGACAAAAATATCTTTAAAAATTGAAATAATTTCTTTAATTTATTATTTTATTTTATAATAATTATAAATATATTAAAAAATTCTAAGGAAACCTCATCTAAAATTTTAGGTATCTTTCCGAATTACTTTTTGTTTTATTTTATCACATTTCAACATGATAAATATTATTTTTGTTTTTATCGACTTTTGCATTAGGATTAACGATGGCCGGTGATGACATTCGCTTGGCAACAAGATGGCGAGTTTTGGTTGGATTATTTTAACTTATCATTAAAATACCATAAACTTGTCGAAAATAGCTTAATTAGTTTTAAAAATAAAAAATAAAAAAACTACAAATCAACCTTATCTTTCCAAAAAGAAAAACATAAAGTAAAAGCACAACAAATAGCAATGACTAGAGTTAGTGTAAAATATAATTTTTATATTTTAATAGAAGCAACCGTTGAAATATATATTTTAAAAAACAATATAGAGAGATGATATTTACTTCCGAAATTCTATGTTTAAGGAGAAACTTTGAATTGTTATTTTTTTATAGTCGTTTTAATTTTCAGTATAATACTTATCCATTAAAAAATATCGATTATAATGTTAATAATATAAAAGAAAAACAAAAATATTCATTTTATCAAATTTTGATATATATATAAAAAATATAGTTACATTAACTTTATATTTTTTGTTTTTGTCTCTATTTTTATTTTTAAAAATATTTATTTTATATATTTTTTACCTTTTTCTTCAAAATTTTGTAGCAAGTCGACCGTTTAACGAGCAACTTACAATTATATTTAATTTTTAAATAAGTCGCCTTTCAGTTCAGCTACTGACACATGACTCAGTAGGTTAGAATCAGCATAAATCGCCCGTTTAATAGACCACTTTAACTACTTCTAAATTTATTTTTCAATGCTTAATTACGTTATTAAAATTTAATAGTAGCTAGTTTAAAAATTCTCCCTTTTAAAGACACTAAGACAAATGTTGGAAGAACATCATCAAGCAAAGTTTTTGTAAGATACAAATTATCTTTAAATACCTTAATAATCATCCTGCTTATTTCATCTTGTAATCCATAACACTCAGTGAGAGAAAATGGAAGTGGTGACATTATCGGTGTTGGTCACAGCCACAGCAGCTTGTGTCGCTGCCTACATGATCTGGTTCTACAGCATGACGGCAAGATTACGTGGCCCTCGTGTGTGGCCGCTCGTCGGCTGCCTTCCCGGCCACCTCGACAACGCCGAGCGCTTGCATGACTGGATCTCCGACAACCTCTGCAAAACCAGCGGGACCTATCAGACTTGCCTTCTCGCCTTGCCGTTCCTGGCCCGTCGCCAAGGTCTCGTCACCGCCACATGCGACCCACGAAACCTTGAGCACATCCTCAAGACCCGCTTCGATAACTACTGCAAGGGTCCCGCCTGGCAAGCCATCTTCCACGACCTTCTCGGCGGCGGCATCTTTAACTCCGACGGCGACGCCTGGCTCTTCCAGCGGAAGACGGCCGCTCCCGAGTTCTCCACTCGCACTCTCCGCCTCGCCATGTCTCGTTGGGTCTCTCTCTCCATTCACAAGGGACTGCTTCCAATCCTCGACACCGCGGTCGCCGACGGTGCAACAGTTGATCTCCAGGACCTTCTCCTGCGTCTCACTTTCGATAATATATGTGGTCTGACCTTCGGCCAGGACCCGCAGACGCTCGACGCTAGTCTCCCGGACAACCACTTTGCCAGGTCTTTCGATCGCGCAACGGAGGCCACCCTACATCGGTTCCTCTTACCAAAGCTTTATTGGAGGTTAATGAAATTGTTCCGATTAGGTAAGGAGGGAATATTGTCCAGCTCAGTCTCCAACGTTTATAGCTATCTCTTCACCGTCATCAATGCCCGCAAGGAGGAGCTGTCCAGCTCCTCCTTGCACGACGATCTCCTTTCCCGCTTCCAGCGCAACGGCGCCGGCTACTCCGACGATTTTCTCCAACAAGTCGCTGTAAACTTCATTCTCGCCGGTCGCGATACCACTTCCGTCGCCCTCTCCTGGTTCTTCTGGGCCGTTGCCACCCACCCCGAAGTTGAACACATCATCATTCACGAGCTTTACTCCGTTCTCGCGGCCTCCCGTGGTGACCAAGACCCCAAAGCTGCGTGGTTCGAAACCCCGCTGGACTACGAGGAACTGGACCGCCTCATCTACCTAAAAGCGACGCTCTCCGAGACACTCAGACTGTACCCGTCAGTTCCAGAGAACACTAAGTACGTCGTTGCCGACGACTTTTTACCGGATGGAACATTTGTTCCGGCAGGATCTTCTATTACTTACTCAATTTATTCCGTCGGGCGAATGGAGTCGGTTTGGGGCCAGGATTGCCTTGAGTTTCGCCCAGAGCGCTGGATATCGGAGGACGGCCGTCGGTTTGAGCCACCTGCGGATTCGTTCAAGTTCATGGCCTTCAACGCCGGGCCGCGTTTGTGCCTAGGGAAAGACCTTGCATACCTACAGATGAAGTCTATCGCAGCTGCTGTGCTCCTCCGCTGCCGATTCGAGCTGGTACCTGGCCATCGCGTCGAGCAGAAGATCTCACTTACGTTGTTCATGAAGCACGGCCTCCGCATGTACGTTCGACGAAGAGACCCGGTTGTTGAAGGCTGCCAAACTGGTTCTTCTAACACCATGGAGCCACGCCACTGCTGCTAATACTACAACAACAACAACATCAAGCCTTTGTCCGACTAAGTGATATCCGCTATATCAATCTTTTTCCTTCATTATGTTCTATTAAAAATCAAATTTTTATTTAAATCTGATAAAAAAATATTATTTCTAATATTTTATAACTAAATCTTTTTAAATCTGCCTCTACCTTTTTTAACATAAAATACTTCTAATTTTCTAATTTGATCATCGACCACGATTCTCTCTAATCTAATCTTGAGTGGAGCTACTCCAACCATTTTAAATATATGCTGATTTGGTATCCTTTCTTTAAAGATAAAGTCAACTCATCCATTGAGCATCCTCATCTATGCTAACGAACAAAATAAAAATAAAATTTAAAGATTTACATAGATAGCACTGAATATTTTCTTAGTTACGGGCTAAGCCCTCAATTTTTCAAAAAAAAAAAAAAAAAAAAAAAAAAAAAAAAAAAAAAAATCTTAGTTATATATAACACTTAAATGGAAAAATAATTAACATATCACATGTCAGTCTTATCACTATTTAGACGCCAACTATTAGTTCATTGAGAGTGATAGGAGCGAGGGGAGCTGTGATTCACAAGAGATTATTACATGCGGCATTTGAATCATCCTGAGACGAATCTGAACGCTTCACGTAATAATTTTTCCTCATGGACGAGATGCTGAAGTCCTGTAGTGATAGCACGATAATCCTCATCTTCCCTTCTCATATCTAGCAATTTTCTAGCAAGTTCCATTACCCAAGATTAAACAAAGTCCTGTAGGGTAAATTTTTAGAGTAAGCATCATTAAGAACGTAATTAGATTATTAAGCATGTTGAATAGAAAATTTAAAAGTAAATATAATCGTCTTTTTAACGGGCAATTTGGTACGCACATAGTAATCGCGTGTTTAATGAGCGATTAGCTCTGGTTACCATTTTTTTTTTTTTAACTGGTATGAAAGTCTTAGGAGTTGTTTAGTATCGGATTTAATCCTAGATTTAAGTCGGATTTACGCTAAATCCAACCAAATGGTTTTTTGTGCTCGTTAAATCCCGGGATTCCGTATATCCCGGATTTAGGGATTTACGGCTTAAATCCCGGATTTACTAAATCCCTCTGTTCGGCGGATTTAAAGGGATTTAGCCGAAGAAGGGCGCGAAAGGGAGAAAGTTACCGTCACAGCCAGTGAGTTCCCGTTCTTGCTTCTGATCAAAATGTCGAAATTTTCGATCCGACAGGAAGGGAAAGACGTCGAAGGAGCGAAGTTGAACAGTATTTTATTTTTAATTATAAATTTATTTTTTAATTTATAATTATATTCTTCACATTTAAATCCCTAACTGCCATAAATCTTGAAATATGTTACCAAACAGTTTCTAAGGATTTAACAAGATTTAACATTTGACATATCAAACAGTTTTAAGGATTTAATACATTTCGGATCAACTAAATTCGGATTTACAGGATTTACTAAATCCCACTAAAGTTAAATCCCACTTGTTATAGATTTTCCAAAGAAAGGTCGTCTTGAGAGCTATGCTAGGGTTAGGATTTTTTGGCGATTCGCTTGGTGCTTTCTCTGCTTGGTGATCGGAGGGATCCGTTCTGATGGATCCCTCCGCCTTGGAGGACGCTTTCCCTCCTCTCACTCACCCTCTCCTTTCTTCTACTGCTGCTGGAAACAAAACACCATGTTCGTGGGATCGCATCCTTTCCGGACCGACATCTAATGCATGTGAGTTTCTGATATCCCCCTTGCCAACTAAAGATGAAATCATCAATTTCCCCTCTGAAGACATTGTAGAAGCTGTAAATGAATGGGATCTGGCGCTTGTTGGCTACTCTCTCGGTAAGAGACCTTACTATAAGGCGCTCCTTAACTCTGTTAAAAAGCTCTGGAATCTCAAAGGTAGTCTGAAACTTATCTCTCTTAGCGAGGATTTTTTTCTGTTCAAATTTTCTAACGCGGAAGACTACGACCTTGTATGGACTAGAGGAGCATGGTTTATTCTTGGAAAACCTTTTGTTTTTCAAAAATGGAATTCTCATTTTTCCCCAACTCGTGAAGAACTCACATCTGTCTCGATCTGGTTTAAGATCCATGATCTTCCTTTATGTTGTTGGACCCCTCTTGGTATTTCAAAAATAGCCACCAAAGTTGGACATCCGCTTGCGGTTGATGCTCTCACTGCCTCCAAATCCAAACTCACCTATGCTAGGGTTTGTGTTCAAGTTGATGCTAAAGCGACTTTCCCTAAAACTATACCTATATGTGTCGAAGGCAAACTCTTTAACTTAAAAATTCAGTACGAATGGCGTCCTACCATCTGTGATTTTTGCGGTTCACTTAATCACTCTACAAATTTTCTACTAATCCTAACCCTGAAATTAACCACATTCCTAATCCTCCTAGAGGAAGAAGCACTAGTCATAGACCTAGACCTCATTCCCTAAATCCGAAAGGTCTTTTTCCTATTCCTAATTCTACAGACAAGAATTCTGATATTGTTGTTGATTCTGCAAAAAATCATGAAGAAACCTTAGTGAATATTGATCACGACATGATTCCAACCTCGGCTAATGTTGTTACCGAGGTTATTAATCACAACATTCTTCTCACTAGTCCAACTATGCATGCTAACTCAGTGGGTATTTCCATGGAAGCTGGGGCTGTTCCTAACTCTAAGATGAATAAAATCAACAAGACTTTAGAGCAATGCCCTTTGACCGAAAATATTGTCCCTATTACTGTTTTAGCAAGGGAAAGCTCTAATATCCCTAATCTCAATTCTCCTACCTCTTTGACTTCCTCTACTTCTGCTTCCATGTTTCGTTCAGATGGACATAAAGATTATAGAGTAAATTCTGCTAACAAGTTTAGCGTGGTTCAAGATGACAATGAAGATGATTCCTCTTCCTCTTTGCATAATGAGGGAATGGAAGACTCCAAAGGATATTCAGCTAAGAATAAGAAAGAAAATATTGGTAACTCTAATACCAAAATGCTGAATTCTAACGAACCTTCCTTGGCAGCTTGGAATATCAGGGGTTTCAATAACCCGGATAAAGTTTTTTGTTGTAGGAATTTGGTTAATGAGCATAAGCTTGACTAATTTGTATTCTTGAAAATCGTATCCTCTCTTCTAATCTTCTGGATCCTTGGTTCTGCTCTACTCACAAGGTTTTTGAAAATGAACTCAGCTTCAATAACTTTGATCTTGCTACTTCTGGACGCATTTGGATAAAATGGAATTCGGATAAAATCTCTTTTAATCCTATTTTTTTCTTCTACTCAAATGATTTCTGGTCATTTGATGGTGGGGTCTCATATTATTATGCTTCTTTCTGCTGTCTACGCTTCTAATTCTTTTGAAGAGAGGAATAAGCTTTGGGCTGATATGGGGGATGTTAATCCGCATGGTGCTCTGCCTTGGGCTGTGATTGGTGATTTCAATACATGTAGATTTCAGTCTGAGAAAAAAAGGTGGGAATAATATCACAATATGGATAGGCTTTATCCATTTAATTCTTTCATATTTGATAATAATTTGATTGAACTTCCTTCTACTGGTAACTTTCATACCTGGTTCAATCAAAGACAGGACAATCCTATTCATCTTAAGTTAGACCAGGTTTTAGTGAATGAAACCTGGATTAATCAATACCCTAACACTCATTATAATGTGTTGAGTAGTCTTGTATTTGATCATACTCCTCTCATTCTCAGAGATGTCCCTACTAGGAAAACTCATAAGAGGTTTAATTTATGTATAAAAATTACTGGAGCCATATTCCAGATTTCTGGAGCATTCTTTTGAATATTTTTCAAATTCCAGATCAAGGGAATCCCATCTTAAGTCTTTACAAGAAGCTGAAATTATTAAAAGGGAGATCAAAACTAGAAACTGGAACTCTTCTAATCACATTGCTATTAAATGTGCTTCCTTAGCTGCTACTCAAGATAGGTATCAGAAATTGATTGATATTGATCCTCTTAACAGGGAGCTGTGTGAAGAACTTAAAAGAATTAATGCGAATATTAATTACTACAACTCTCTTCATGCTTCTTGGACCATCCAAAGATCTAAAATTAAATGGTTAAAACATGGAGAAGAAGATTTGAAGTTTCTCTATTCCAAAATTAAGAAAATGAAAGCTTTTAATGGGAGTTCTCTCAATGCTACTATGACTCAACCTTATGATAATGAGAACAACAAGCACTCGATTTAGTATCATTCAACATTTCAAAAATCTGTACAATTCAAAACCTCCTGAGTTAAATGATACTAGTCTTATTCCTAAAGGCAAAATGGTTCCTGAAAATGCTATTTCTTCATTAGTGAGGCCTGTTACCAATGATGAAATTCATCTGGCTATTAAATCTGGATGTTCCAACTCGGCACCTGGACCTGATGGCTTTAACTTTGATTTTTACCAAACAACCTGGAGTATTACGGGTCCTTTAGTTTGTAAGGCCATAAAGTCCTTTTTTAGTAAATGCTACTTACCTAACTGTGCTAAAGCTACTGTTATAGCTCTTGTTCCCAAGAAAACTCATGCTGAAAATGTTCAAGACTTCCGGCCTATCTCTCTTTGCAACATTTTTCACAAAATTATTGCAAATATTTTGGCATGTCGTATGAAGATCATTATGCCTGATATTATTGAGAATAATCAAGCTGCTTTTATTTCTAATAGGATTGGTACTGATAATCCTATATTGGCTATGGAAATAATCAATCTTTTCAAAAAGTAATATAAGATGAAACTTTTTTGTGCTAAATATGATATCAAGAAGGCCTTTTATACCGTTTCAAGGAACTTTCTTTTTAATAGAATGGCTAATAAGGGATTTTCTAATATCTTCATTAACTGGATTAAAGCATGTATAAATGACAATCATTTTTCTATTTGTCTGAACGGAACATTGGAAGGTTTTTTTTCATCCTCTACGGGACTTAGATAGGATTGTCCACTAAGTCCATACCTTTTTTGTATTATTATGGATGC